AAAAATGTTATCAATTATCTAATAATTTGATGTGTATATGACTAATGTTCATTTTTGACCGCCAAATGGCATTTTTTTTTACTTTTTTTATTGGATCTACGGAGACGCTGGGCCTGCCTTTACAAAAAATTTACCAGTTTATTTTATCAGTACAAGAAAAAAGCTTTTTAAATTTTCACTTTTTGGCTCATATCTCAGAAACTGCTAAACCTGCCTCCGCCAAAAACTAATCAGCAGGTCTCTTTATCAATACGAATCGAATGTCTTTTTAATCATTCAAATCGGTTGAACCGTGCTCCCGAAACCGCCGACAAAAATTTGTATTCGCACACACACATACATTCATTTTTTCTGAGGTATGCCAAAATGTTCAGAAACTTCTGAAACATAAAGATATGCAAAAATTTTCATTTCGATTTTTTGCGATTTCCACAACTTAACACCCTACCGGAAGTTAATTACAAACGAGTTAATTAAATTAAAAATCGTTTATCCGTCATAATATTTTTTCTATAGATTTTGCATTTTCACTTGTAGTATTTTATATGAAAATATCTGCGGTGAGTATATATAATAAACGTCGGAGTTGATACGAATATCGGAAATGTAGGTCGATTTTGCATAATCCAATCCATCGTCGGATATCGATGTTATTTCAAGCGATATCGATATTTAAATTTGATATTTGCTACGCGAAAGCGATGATGAAAAAGATGAAATTCTGAGGATCATCGAAAATTTAATTGCAAGAAATTAGAATTTTATATCAAACACTTTTTACAATCGTATTGTGAATTTTTTTCACATTGAAATTCGTTAAAAAGGTTATTTTTTTTTAGGATCATCTAGAAAATCATTAAATTAATTTAATTTATTTTTTTCCTATATTTTATGTGACATTATATTTAGTGTGTCTAGTTTATAAAATATTTGCAGGTGCACTTTTGTAGTTGTAAATATTTTCATCATGGATGTGTGCACAATTGAGACCTAAATCGTTATAAGACCAAAAAGTAAATATTTTTTTTTAATCATTTTAAGATATTGTTAAAATACAAAAATGTTATAGATACAAAATTAAGAGAAAATTCTAAAACATTCGCCTTTGTAAGATAAAATTTAAGAGATAATTATATGAATATATAAATCTACATAATAATTAAAACTATACTAATTTTGTAGATACGACACTCTACACCATTTTTGCGTAAAATACTTGAGTACTTGAATAAAAAATATTAAAATATAATATAATGTGGCTCTTAAGTGAACAATGAGAATCACTGATCTACAAGTTCGTTTTTGAAAAATTTCTATCTCCCAGTAAGGCAAAGTAGATTCGAAATCAAATTCAGAAGGAACTGCCTCAGAAACTATATACATATACAGTTTCCTTATTCGTTTCCGTGAATTTTTGGCTTTAAATAAATTTATTCAAAATACTATGTTGAAAAATGCTATAATAATTTAAAGCAATAAATCATTGGGCTAAGATAACGTTTTCCCAATACATTTTAATTATTTTGTCACCTAATTACAGTAAGATCATCTCAGTTATTTTCATGAGAAACTTTAGTTAGAGTGCGGACTATCTTAAAGTTAATATAAAGAGGTAAACTTTCGAGGATTTTTTTATCACTTGCCAAGCATCTGGGCACCTGGAGCAAAAAATTCGAAATTCCATAATAAGACCACCCTAATATATAATTAAACTTGAATCATTTATAAACATAGAAATTAACAATGAATTAAAAATTTGATGCAATGATTTTTTATACTGTCAAAATTTTTGCTGTTTGTGAAGCCCTCAAACAAAATTTTGATACGGTGCCCCACCAAAGTGCACGCTACGCCCTTGTATTTGCTTTCTAATTAATTTAGGGTTGTATAATATCAAATATTGTGAATGAAATCATAATCAGAACAATAAATATCAACTTTTAGTTTTTTGAATTTGTATAATAATATTCTCCATTTATCAAAATTCTACACTGGGCTTTTTAGGACATCAAGCGACTGCCTATAATGAATACTATTAAAAATATAATAATATCAATTAGAATCGCATTTATTAATTTTTAGTAAAAACTATAAACATTTTTTCAGAAAAAACAGTTAAAATTTCGGTTGAGTATGTCAATTATTAGTATTAGGAAGTTTGCGCAACTTGCCTTAAGGAAAAATGTCACTTTCAACTAGTTAACTAACTTTCCGTATGATAAGTTATGTAATCACAAAAAAAATCAAAAATTTAAATTTTTTGCATATTCACGTTTCAGAGGCTTCTGAACATTTGGCATACCTTAGAAAAAACGAATGTGTGTGTGTATGTTTGAATACAATTTTTCGTCTACGATTTCGAGCACGCAGATCAACCGATTTGAATAATTCAAAAAACATTCGATTCCTATTGATAAGGAGACGTGCTGATTTGTTTTTGGCAAAAGCAGTTCCAAACGTTTCGGAGATACGAAGCAAAGAGAGCTAAAAGTGGTAATTCAGTTTTTGAGGCAACGGAGCGCCCGATTTGAACGATTCCAAAACATTTACTTGTATTGACAAAATGAAGAACTGGTTAAATTTTTGAGAAGGCAGGTCTAGCGGTTTCGGAGATAAAAAATAAACATCAAAAAAGATATTAGGAAAACAAAAATTATCATTAAACATATGCACATCAAAGTATCAGATATTATATGAGATTTTAAACATGAATACTAATTTTGTTACAATTTTTTTTGGGCTTCGTATCAAGATTTTTAATTTTTAAAGTTTACTTATACGGTTCAAACAAATTTCAAAATTTTCAGAACTTTTCAAAAATGTTCATTAGTTATGTCTTTTTTTATTTGTTGTAATTCACAATTTATACTCTTTTACCTCATAATCATTTTATTTTTAAGTTTACTCTATATAATCACAAAATTTAAATTAATATATCAAAATTGAAAGACTTACTACTGGTAAGCTTTTAGATCTAATGTTTAATATTTCATATATCATCAAAATTACTGAATGTCTTTCTTTTTGTTAAGACAGATTGTAATTCAATAAAGAGAATAAAAAAAAATAAAAAAAACTTTTAAAAAATATGCAAAGTTTTATTCCTATAAATGTAAATTTTAAATTTATAATTCAGTTTAAATTTTACATTTACAAAAGTATTAAAATGTGTATATTTCATATGCGTTATTGTAATCGTAAGAAATATATCCTCAGATGGGTTCATTCGGCATCTCTTTTTAATGTAAACATTCTTAAGTGTTTTTGAGCGGTAAGATCGTCACTGTGTATTATATGAACGATAAAATATATATATATATATATATATATATATAGTAATTACAATTATCTCTTTAAAAATATTTAGAACAATTGTTAATCAATATATTTATTAATTATTAATTTTCTTGCTGAATATTTAATTCTGGTAGTAATTTGCCTTAAGGTTGTGAACTTTCTTAGGTGTTTTTGAGCGATAATATCGTCACTGTATATTATATGAACGATAGAATATATAGTAATTATAATTATATCTTTGAAAATATTTAAAGCAATTGTTAATAATCATTGATCAATATTTATTGATGATTAATTTATTTTTGCTCGAATATTTAATTGTGGTTCAGCAATTTGCCTTACGACACTATGCCATACACCACTAATTTTAAAATTCGTTCCACACTTTAATCCAACCCGATGATATAGTACCTCTCTCCCATATTCCCTATCTATATATCAATATCTATCGATAAAGCCATAATCGCCTCCATATACCGTTTTCGTTTTCCGGCTTTTCTAAAGGAAATACGAGTTGGTACGTGATGAGAGAGTTTTTCCTTAAATATTGATCTCATATCGCCCAATGACAGCTAAAGTGCTTCGGACACTTATTCTCTTCATGTGGGATATGTGAAATCTATAGTCGGGGGCTTATGTAACGCAATAGCCAAAAAAAAAAGATCGTGATAAGTAGAGAAATATATTATACAGTGTGGTAATATGAGAGATACTTGTCAATGGTAAAGGACTTGTAAAGGACAAGGAAATTGACGTGGGAATAAATATTGAAGTTGTTGGTGGTTGGTTGGCAATTTGCCTTGGATGAACTTGATATTAACACTTTCGGGACGGCACCGATTTCAAAACAATCTACTTTACCGGCTGTAAACTTGATTTCATTGTGTATGTTATGCAATTTTTTGATAAAAATTTGTGGTCATTGTAGGACATACATTTGTATATTAATTTATTTTTGATCATTTTATAAAGAATGGTGGTTGATTTTGACATGCTTTACAATGAAATGTTGTTCGCCGCCTTCCTCCTGGTGCTTTTCTGTCAGAACAGATAATACAATCCCTTTTTCTTTCACTCGCATTTAGAACATGCCACTGATTAGTCAGTATAATTGGTCATTTTTTTGCTGCCATAATTGTTTGTTTTTTCTATTATATAGTCTAATAATTCATTTGTAAAATATAAAGTAAAATAATCTATTGGATGTCTTATATTGCTTGGTATTTGTAGTCGAGGTGCTTGTTGATGTATGTCAAACTCGATTATTGAAGAAAAATCGGCACATTTGCTAATGTCTTTCCACTCTTCATTTAATTTGTAGAACTTCTTCTTTTTGTTGGTTGGATAATATCATCATCACATTCATCACTATCTTCGGTGCGAATAGTAATTTTGTAAAATTTTTCTGTAAGAATGTCTATTTGAAACCTATCTTCACTACTGCTTAATTCACAAAATTTACCAGTCGTTTTGCCTTATTTAAAAGCGCTCGGTCGTTTTAAATATTAAAAAAGTTATAACAAAGAAAAAGGCTAAAAATACTACTAAAATAACTTAAAATTATTTTCAAAATACAATTTTGTTTATCACTGCTATATGTAATTGATTCAACTTTTCGATGCAAACTGAGTCATTGTTTATAAAATAGCCTGTGCCTCACAGAGTTTGTTCGTCCGCTGAGGTGGACAGCCGTCCCCAAAGTGTTAACATGAATTTGGTGAAGTATTATTATTATTTACCTGTAATATCCAGCTGCCGTTCCCCTGAAGTGCGTATCCGGCGTGCACTATGTGCCTGTGTCTGGTGAAGCTGGACAGCAGATTGCGCATACATTGCACCAGGGTATTAGTCTGAGGCTGAATCAGGATCTCAGTCACCAGGTTTTCGGTGGCGTATTGGATCAGTCTCTCTCCTGAACAGAAATCAAACATCAATCAACAAATAGTTATATTAAAACTTATAATACATAATATAATTGCAATATAAAAGATGAGAAAACAATAAAAAACCTAATACCTACCATTGGGATATTAATATGAAATATGATCAATGTTTCAAAAGCCAGTAATGGAGTTTAGATTTTGGATACATGACTAAATTTACTTATTACAGAAAATAAATTATCTTAATTGAATTAAGTACAGTAAAATACAACTCTAAAACAAAATGAAGCCTAACATTGGTATTATGTAATGCAAATATAACTAGAAGAAACGGTGTAATGATGATATTGAGATATATTGTTAAAGGGTTGTTTAATAGATCATAGAGATTTTTCTGACGGTAAAAAACCATAGTTGAAATAAACTAGTTGAAAGTGGCATTTTGCCTTAAGGTAAGTTCCATGAACTTCCCGAAATTTATAATATTGACCGACATTGAGATTTAGATATTTACAATTAGATAAAATTTTCAAATGCACGATTTGTACGTAGTCCCTAATATTAACTAATGATTTAAATTAATGGTAACATTTTTAACACGACTAGAAAAGATTTGTAGACTTATTTTTCCTCTTACTCCAAAAAATGGCTTCTAATTTTGCTATTTTCAAATTTTGACTCATCACATCGCATAAGCGACTTTTGTCACAAATTTTGATTATCATTATTTTTTCAAACTTCGATTAATTTTTTACAATTAAACTACTAGCCAGCTGTTTTTGAGAAAATGTCGATTTAAGAAAAATTATCAGTTCACACACATATACATAGTTTTTTCAAATTTGGTCTCATTCGATTCAGAATGGCTTGAAACGTCGAGAAAACAAAATTAAATCGGAGTTTTTGATGAGAACAAACTTCTCCTTTCAGATGTTAACAAGGAAGGGATTTTTACGCATACACAAACATTATTATATTGTTAATTTTTTAAATAAAAACTTCATATTGATTTTACTAATATGTCCATCATTCAAGTTTTTTTCGTTGATAGTGGTCTTTAATTTTTTCGAATAATTTGTGTGTTTTAGATACAGAAAAAAGAGTCAAAATAGGACTCGAAACGTATAAAAAATATTATTTTTTTTAAACACAATTCGGTTTGCTCTCTATTATTTGCATAGATACTTTTTAGAGCAATTTTTTTGTTTTTATTGTCTATACGAGTATATATTGTACTTGATTCTTACTAGTAAAAATAGGATTCATGCTAAATATAGTGAATCAATTCAGATAGCAATTGACCATATTAATGAATTATACAAAAACAATATTCAGAAACTATTGACAACTATATAATCAACATGAAATATTAGTTTCAAGTTATATGTAACTAGGGGTGCATGGCATCGGGCCTTACAAAGTAACTGATTTTCGACCTCAAAATGGCATTTTTTAAAACTTTTTTATCTGAATTTGCAAAGTCGCTGGCTCTGCCTTTGCAAAAACTTAATCAATTTTTTATTACGTCAATACAAGTAGAATGTTTTTTGAATAATTTATATCAGATGCTCCTTGCTCTCAAAAACCTTATTTCTATTTTTTGGCCTCTTTGCTCCGTATCTCCGTAACGGATGAACCTGCCTTTGCCAAAAACTAATCAGCACATCTAGTGATCAGTAGGAGTCGAATGTGTTTTAAATTATTGAAATAGGTTGATCTATTCGCCCAAAATCGTGGATTAAAAATTGTATCCATATATACACACACCACACACACTAACATACACACATACATTAATTTTTTAAGTATGCCAAAATGTTCAAAACCCTTCAAATGAAAAAATATATAAAAAATTACATTTTCGATTACAATAGCTTGCTCTCCGGGATATTTCAAAAATAATTAACACTAACAAAAAAAGATTGTATAATACTACAAATTAAATACATTTATATAACCAGGAAAATATATTTCATAATACTTCCCGATATAATAATCAATAATTACTATCGATTTAAAATATCATTCAATTCTTTAAGTATTAATAATTTATTAATTTAAATTGAACGAGATACTTTATATCATTCAATTACAAAAATTATATCGTAAATTTTACGACGTAAAAGTATTGTTACATGATTTAGTAATCAAAGTAATAAAGAATTAAATTGAAATTTAATTTAATATAAAGAATAAAATCATAAGCATTAACGTTAGAACAAGAAATAGGTAATTTTGTATTATATAATAGGTCACAACTGAAATACAATAAATAATTCATTTTACAGGATGCATTATTACAAATTAAAACATTATTATCAATAATGTAAGTAATAAAATCTAATTTACGAGAAAACTAAATACTGTACTTATTTATTATAAAATTAGACAAAAGATCCAGGTTTTTGGTATTAAATCATTTCTATGTGACATGTTGATTCGCACTTTGCAAATAATTTCAATAAAATACGTTAATCAAATTATCTTCATAAATTAATCAATTTTTTTACATAACTTATATCCTCGCATAGACTATAGTAAGAAATTAATACAAATCTATATTCCATTTGCTATTTTATTTCATTTCTACTAATTTAGATAACTTCAACACCTATAATATATCATATCAAAATGTTTACCTGTATTTTGCATCCGCAATTAAAAAATAATTAACGTCTGAAAAAGCGGAAAGAGTGGCTCCGTTAAAGCTCCATTTCCCAAGGCAGAATAAAATTTAAATATTACCATTTTTTCATTTATTTTTAACGGTGAAAATAATGAGAATTTTTTCCTCGTCTACGTTTCAAACCGCAATCTTTTGTTGTTTAAACAATCTACATAATAAAACTTCGTGAAAAAGAAACTGAAAAGGATCGTAGAACTTCTATCAGTAAAGGAAAATATATACCTACCAAATTTCAATTATATCAAATTTTTCTAATTTTGATTAATTTTTTATTCTGGTTTAACGTTTCTCTTATCCCTTGTTAAAATTATGTCCTTCCTATAATGGAAAACAGATTCCCCACAAATTGAAGAGAGCATTATCTACGATCATTATTTTCTTTTCTCGATGCCATGTTTTCCAATTTCAATAACTTAATCCCGACGATAAAGTATATGTATATATACAATGATGTAGATAAATGTGTCGATAGTGGAAATCCATCGAATGTATTAGAAGAATCGATTATTCTCAATATCGATAGTGAGGAAAAGCAATAAAGTTACGTCGTTTGATAAAGTAGTACGGATGAAATAGGGAAATTGATGTATGTATATATATATACGTATATATATATATGTATATATATTTTTAAATATGTACATATATATATATATATATATGTATTAGGGTGGTCCTTAAAATGCTCATTTTCGAATTTCCTTGCTCCCAGGGGCTCAAATGATTCCAAATTGATAAAAAACAATTCTCTGAAAGTTTCAGCTCTTAATATTAACATTTAGAATTAATTTATTTATTTTATTTTTAATTATGGACTTTTATTACATTCTAAATTGATTCAAACTTGAATAAAATTAAAAACTAAAATATGATAAAAAATAAAATTATACAAGAATGTTACCAGATTTGCCTAGAGTCTTAACTTGATTCCAAATTGTTTCCTACTCGATTATAGCTTGTTTATATTTAAAAAAAAAAATGATATATAATGATAGTAATTTTTTCCAAAATTCGGTCAATTGGAACAAAATTTATATTATCATGTGAAGTGCAAAAAATCCATTCTCCCAAGTCCATTCGTCAAATTATAAAAAATGCAAATGTTGATGAGAAACACAATTTTAGAAGCAATATTTAGGAAAAATAAATAGTGGGTTAATGAAACCGCGTGAAAGGCGTCTAAATAATATTTATTATAACATAAATAAGGAAGAGACAATAATGATGATTTATTACACGAAATGGATTAAATTTACCTTAAGGGGGTATTCTAGTGTAGAGCGATGAATTTTAGGTCATTTTTAAAGTGTCGTAAAAGAAAGCAATGAATGTTTTTACTATCCATTTTTTCACCACTTGTTTATTAATATTATTAAAATACAAAACAAAAATTAAAAAATTAAAAAGTTGAAAATTGTAAAAACTGGCAGCTGATAAAGTGGGTGGTCTCAAAAAATTGACACCTCAGTCTTGATATGAATTCAGCCCTCCTAGCCATCAGAAATGCAAAAAATAAAAAGATTATTAATCTACAATGATGTCGCAATCGCCCGAACTAGCGATGAGTAAAAAAATTTTTTTTTCACAAATTGGCGACTGTTTAAAAAAAAGGTTTTTTTACTGTTTTTTTTTTTTTGAGTTTCTCGAATTTTTTAAAAATAGTAAAAATAGGAATTCGGGATGATTCTAGTTCAGACTATAGATAGATCTATAAACAAGAAATCTCTGAACATTTCAAGTGAATCGGTCGAATAGAACTCGAGAAATCGTGTCAACAGTACTAAAAAAGTTTGATCTGAGAAAAACGCATTTAAAGTTTTGCATGAAGCCAAACCAGTATGGAGACCGAGTCAGTAAAATGCCTATATTTCCGAAAATAATTCAAATTTTCAAAAACCTTCTCGTACCCATATTCTTATATAGTTAAACTTTGAAAATATGAAATAAAAAAAATCGATTTTTTTGAATTTCTACACTAGAATAACCCCTTAAAGTGAAACAAACTTCAAAGACAGTGCAGAATTTCAAACGGATAATGAAGTAAACAAGAAAATACAGAAATTGCAAAATATAAATCTAATTTTAGACTCATATATATATATATATATATATATATATATATATGTATAAACCCAAAAATAATAATATATTCTTACCATGTCTGGCCTCTTCTCCTTGTGGAGCTTGCTGAGTTAAAGCCGACAGTTCCTCTTCTAAATCCACGTGGCATTTTGATGAGTCCCATGACAAAAAGCCTGAAAAAATAATAAAATATATTAGATATACATATAATAGACATATACAAAACCTAAAAAAAAAATAACCCACTTAGAAAAAAATCCAGGAGACTTTCAAAAAAATATTGCAAGCTTTTTGAAGCCAACGTAACTTGAAGTAATTGAAAATCGTGTTCATCATTTTTTAGTTAGAAAAAAAATTTGCTTGAAATGTAAGTTAGATTTTACCTAAATAGCTAAAAATCTCTTCGTTGATCATTGATATTAAGACAAAACGCCACTTACACCTATTTTATTTTATTTTTTCTATTTTACCATTGTCTGGAAGTTCGACGTCCACGCGCAGTTTCGTCTGCAGAATTCTGATTCATATCATTTATTATTATTTTAAAACAATGTCCTCTTCAAAAGGAAGACCATGGCATGTTGATGTTGATGTACCATCAACTAAAACAATGCGATCATTTTCAAACTATTTTGCAACAGGCAAACTAATTGCAAGCCATTAATTTCGCCGACATCCGGGAAAGCGTGGGACTATCATTGTACGATGGATGCATTTTGTATGAGATATCTCTATTAAAAATATCTCATACGAAAAAAAAAGTTGATAAGTGATACAGATGGTAAGTAATTAGATACAGCCAAAATTAAATTTGGACATGTATCGAGTAATAAAAAACATACTTTGTCCTGCCCTCTTTGGACCCTATGCCAAAACCAAAAAGTTTGACTTGTCACTACCGTACCCACTATATAAGCCCAAGAAATTTTCCTTCTCCTTTAAAACAAAAGATTTTTCTTCAAAACAAATTTTAATTCTGGATTATATTAAAATTTCTGAATCGTCCAGTTCTTAACATAATGATTGTTTGATATTCCTTCGTTATTGCATTTATGTTTACTCGTCTTGTTTGCAGAGTTTTGGGAAAAAGGTTTAAAATCATTAAAAGTTCTTAAGGAGATAGCTTTGTTAGGCTGAAGTTTTAATATAAACGTCTTTTAATAATTTCTCAAGATTTTTTTTTAAAAGTTTTGTCCTTAGAGGTGATTAATGAGAAATGTAAAAATCTTATCCATTACTATTTTTTTTTAATATAAAGCCAATGGTGATAAAATTATATTTGTAATTACAAAGCAAATTAAAATCATATTAATAATTTCATGCATTGGAATTATAATATTTCTAAGCATTCAATAATTTTGTTCTGAAATTAATATAAATAGTAAAAAAGTGTTTATTCCATCATGGCCATTACAAAGTATTTAAAAGCAAGATTGTTAGCAAAAAATTGATTCCCAAAAAAATTAAGCCGGAGTGAACGATTTATTTCACAAAATTTTATTTTCATAATTTATTTTTATTAATCCATGTTATATTTTTCATGATAGCGTGTACATGCAGTTATTTTTGCAACATAGTCCGAGGGCAAAATAATTATGCAATTAGTAACCACAACCGCAACATGAATTAATTAACAATTTATACGCAGTTATTTTTATGAACTGTTTTTTTGCCTTCGCATACATAATTTGCTCATTTATTGTATTCAGTTGCATATCTTTGAAAATTAGTCTTAAGTGAAAAACTCTTTAAAAATTAGTCTTAGTATTACCCTAAAGGTTATGAAACATTTTAGAATAAACAAACTATGTCGTTCGTAGTAATACGTTCTGGGACATCCTGTAGATATTTTATAATTTATATAAAATGCTTATTAACAAAAAAGAGTAACAAATTTATACAGCAATGCCCACAAAAGGCGAATTTACGTGGAAATTTAATATCACACTGCTTGATATCGAATTGAGATCAAACCTGTGACTAAGTCTCTGCTGATCCACTTTTTTAACCAATAACTATTTTATCACGACGGTATCAAAACTGTTTTTAACCTCTTGATTGAAATTTTTGTAATAAATTACATATTTAATATCATACTGCTTCATATCGAACTGTCCAAGTTAGAGATCGAAACCGCGACTAGTTTCTATTCACTCACTTTTTAACCACAACGGTTTAAGAACTATTCTTTAATCTCCTAATATTAAAGTTTTTGTAATAAATTATATGAGCATTTATACTTACAACAATTAGAAATAAATTTGCATTTTCAAAAAAAAAAAAAATTAAATTTTTGTTTTTTAAAACTTTCGAAACTGTTTTATTATTTCAATTTTAACTATAATTTTGAAATGTGGTATTCACAGCCAAAATATACTGATTTTGACATGGAATCCAAAAGGAGACAGTTTCTACTATTCAATGGTCTAAAGAGAGATGAAGTATGTTTGTTCGAACGAGTTTTCATTGTTAATTCAGAAAAGGTTCAAAGAGAGAAAGATGAAGTATGTTTGTTCGAACAAGTTTCCATTATTTAATCAGAAAGGAAAACAGAGAAAGATGATGTATGTTTGTTCGAACAAGTTTTCATAATTCAATCAGAAAAGATGATGTATGTTTGTTCAAACAAGTTTCCATTGTTTAATCAGAAAGGGTCCTAAGAGAGGATGATGTAGTATGTTTGTTCGAACAAGTTTCCACTATTCAATCAGAAAGGGTCCAAGGAAAGAAAGATGATGTATGTTTGTTCGAGCAAGTTTCCATTATTCAATCAGAGAGGATGATGTATGTTTGTTCGAACAAGATTCCACTATTCAATCAGAAAGGGTCCAAAGAGAAAATGGTTTGTTCGAACAAATTTCTTACATGAATACAGATAGATCATTTAGTGTGTTATTTTGATGTAGTTGAACATTAGTAGTTATTTACCAGAAATTAGTTTTTGCGTAGATTATTTACTAACGATGATTTATTTTCAATAGAGTGCGTTGGGTACGGTTGTGACAAATTTTGTGGGTACGGTTATGACATGCATTTCTTGTCCATTTCTGTTAAAGATCAAAAACAGTCAAAGAAAAATGTAACTTGACTAACAAAAATGCAAAAGAGAAAGAGAAAGGAAAATTCGATACAAGAAATATTTTTTTGGAAAGATTTCTGTTAACTGCATTCAAAAAATTACGTTGTGTTATATATTGTTATAATATAATTGCTCTGCTGGAATAAAACGAATTCATACTTTTGCTCAATGAATAAAAAAGAGATATCTCATAGGAGATAATCTCTTTAAATTCATTAACACCTAGCATATTGTCTTAAAAAATTATATTATTTTAATCGGCAATAGATCTATGCAAAATAAAATTCTTTTCCCCGAGTACTAGACTCCGATTTGACAAATCCCCAACACTTTATATTTTGTATTTCAGTGTTTTAAATTAGCATCGTCTCAAGTCCACATCCGCAAATACGTTAACGTCATATTATATACTTGGTGTGTGTGTATTTCTGTGTTTTAGATTAATTGTAACTAGGAGTAATGTTCTGAACAAATGTGAATATATGACAACACGTCTCGGGGAACCGTGATGAAAGATTACGAGAGAGATTATGGCGAGGATTGTTAAATGTACGAACATTATTAAATTAATGTCTGACAGTAGAATTCGTGAAATGAAACTTGCTTTTATTTAATACGTGTCTCTGTAATCAAAATTTTATAGTAAAGTAATATCCCAAGGAATAAATAAAAAAATGACAAAAACTTTAAGTTTGGGTTATATGTGTAAAGTAAATCTGAAATTTCCGTTTTGTAACAAAGGCGTTTTGTTTGCCCAGGAAGGAATATTTGAAGTACGAAAGCTTCGATATCAAGTTTCTGGGCTTTTAAACTGTCGACACAGCTTTCGGCAAGAAAATCAATTGTTCTGTAGAATATAAGCATTCGAAATAATAATAGAGCTGGAGACCTAAGAAATACTTAATACATTCTATTTTGCTCTCAAAAATCCAAACTCGTAGATACATCTATGTTAGCTCTAAAGGTATTCCTAAGTTTCGTTATTTAATATTACTGTAAAACACTAGTAATTTTAGATAAATTATAAATACATAAAAAAGGAATAATCTTATGATAACTGCACCATCTAGAATTCTGTTATTCAACAGAACTTCAAAAGCAACTGAACATGCCCCCGTACTTGTTTTTTTTGTAAAATACGCCTGATCGCACGGCAAATAGATAGACATTTTCATAAATTTCAATACCAAGCATTAGAGAGCCAAGACAACCTTATTTTATGAGCTTTATTACGACAAAATTGCCCCATTAATATATTTTTTATAATAACTTAATACACTTTCATAAAAACTTAACTCAATCCTTTTTTAGAGTTAAATAAATACAATTAATTTTATATTAGTTTTAGAAAGATTGCACTCTATCTACACCTGTCTTATTCACAATTGGAAATAAATATAAAACATGATTTATTACTATTCATAATATTTAGGTAATATTGTAAGTTTATGTTATTCATTTCATATAAGCAAGATAAATTAAATGAGTATAATTTCTCCTAGCTCTCTGTCTATTTTACCAAACGATTATAGCATTTTGTTCTCCGCATTGTCGAAACGAAAAAAAAAAAACAAATATCTCTGTATATGGCATCACTTATCGATATAAATGTTTGCAGAATAAATTCTGCTAAAAGGATTCTGCACAGGATTATTATTTGCCATCCGAATAATACGAAACAAATGAACTTGTAGAGAAAATACAATTCTGCACAAAAAATTGAGAATTCAGAATTGAGTTGGTACATGTGTTTGCGTATTAATTTTAAATGTATATACCAATAGATAATTCGACTAAACTTATATTAGTCCAATTAAAACTTCTCTTTTTATATGATAGTTCTATCACAATATGAATTTTTTGCTATCAAAAGGTTGTTACATTTTAACATTTACTAATTTCCAGAAGAAGAATTTTATAATTCCTTTATATAATATATATATATATATATATATATATACACAGATAATTATCTAATTATTTATCTCTCAAAACAACAACAAATTTGGAAGCCGTCAAAACAATGCCAGAAATTCCATTAATGAAAGAATGAAATATCGATATTAATATTATCATAATTCAAATTCTGTCGAT